TAATGGAAAGCAGTTAATTATTTAAAACAAATTGTGCCAGAGGATTAGTACTGTTGTTTAACACATTTCAGGGAAGGCAAATCCAAAACCTGTAGCCACACTCAAAACCTTTAATACATAAGGGGAAGAAAAAAAAAGAAAAGAATTTTAGAAGAAATCCACAATTACAATGCCACAGACAAAGAATCCATATCATCACTACGCAGAATGCACAAATGAACCAAATGCATTAGGGATACAAAGACAAACAAACCAAAGTGAAAACATTCAAGCTGAAAGTTAATGCAATAAGCCAGCAACCTGGAGACAAAGCTTTAACTTCCTCAAGGCTTCAGTTATACTGATGCATTTGAAGACTGCAGAGGTTTTTTGCTTTTGTTTAGATGATAAGGGATGGGCTCTTGGGAAAATTCTAATTCATCTAAGAAATATCAAATCTGAATGAAGAAAAAAAATCTGGGATGAAACTACATTTTAGAACCATTGAAAAGTACCTGAAATGGTTGCTGCTGGGATGAAAAAGCAGCAGAAACATTTGGAGGAAGCTGGGTTGCTATAGCGACAGGAGTACCAGTCTGCCCATCCTTTCCTGTCACAACCTTTACCTGAGAGAAATATTTTGGGAAAAAAAAAAGAAGGGAGAATCATTTTCTTTTTAGAAGTTTTTCTTTTTTTAAAATGTTCAACACACTCCTTTGGTACTGATGGCACCTCAGTGAAGAGGGGATAATAACTAAACCACCACCAGTACAGCTTGTTTTGAGCACAGCCCATTTTTAGAGTTCTGTCTTACTTTTAATAGCAGAACAGAGCACAGCCTTGACTGTTTATTGTGACTCTTTATTGTGACTTCTGTCACTGGAAACGTTTTCTTAAATCCAGTTAACATAAAAGTGTGCTTTAAACTGAATGATTGCTGCTGCTAACAGACAACAAATTAGCATGACAGACAGTTTGAACGTAAGAGAGCTTCAACATTTATTTAAGCAATGAGCACAGCCACCATTCACTCTCCCCTCCAATTCCCAAAGAAATCAACCTTCCAGGCAGGGGATGAAGCGCGTTGCTTTAGCAGAAAGTGATAGAGGGGAGGGGGAAATAAAACAGAACACAACAACAAAATACAAAGAAAGAACATACTCAAAAGGTGTCTTAATCTTTCAGAAGGATTCATCACTTGAAAACACGTAAAGACTTCTGCTGTTGCACTTGGCAAAATTCTCCAGCAGTTACAGGGACAAGAAGCTTCCACAAACAAAACAGGATCCACCACGAGAAGGCAGCGAAGTACAGCAAATTCTCAACCCAAAACACCACGGGGTAGAGACTGAACTCATTTAAAGTGTACAGCACGACTGACTTGAAGGAACCTGTACCATTTACACCCACTAAAGATCCCTCAAATGTGCAGATGGTAGTTAAAAATACCTGGTTATTTCAGCTGACAAACACGCAACCCAACAAGAACACCTAAACAATTTGACAAAACACAAACCAGGTGAAAAAAAAATACTGAATATCCATTGTCAATAAATTACAATAACAGGCTAGCTTTTATGTTACTATATAAAGTAATGATTCCTTCAAAATTGTCTGTAACTGTCACACACAGAAATATATTCTACCTAATTAAGAAGCTTATACAACAAAGTGCTGAACAAATTAAACTTCAGCCATTATTCTGTTAAAATTTCCCACTAATTCCAACTGAAGGTATCATTGCTAATGATTCATACCTAAGAGTCATTAAATTTGAGAGAAGGCACTCATTTCCAGAGGGTATTCAAAGCAACACAAGGTTCTTTACATAATAGTGGTTATTCTACAAACTGGCAGCTACATAATTCACAAATTTTAGAAGATATTTATGAGTGCCAAGTGGTGCAGGGGCATCGGTTCTATCTACCCTGCTGCAACCACTTGCCAAGTTGGCTTGTGCACCAGACCAGTGCTCCAGCACCCACAGATGGGTACAAAAGTGCAGGAAAAGCTGCACAGCACCTGTTTATGGCAAGCTTCTTTCAAATTCTTTGCCATCAATAAGCAGTGAATTCAAGTCAGTAAGTTAAACCTTTGCATAAGTAACAAAGTGAACTTGTCAATGTCCAGTCTGTAAGTGCTGGTTGTTAATTCTTTAAACAGCAGCTCACACACAGAGCTCCAGTGCACCCTCAATAATGCAATACATCACTGTGGACCCTCACACATGTTCTCCCTCACTAATTAGATTAATTCACATTTTTTGTTGGCTGCAGCAACATTGAACTTCAGTAACATCTATGATTAGAACTCACATGAGTCAGGTTAACCTGTTGTAATGCTTTTGCTAATTCTTTTTTGGTTTGTCCAAGTCTAGCTAAGTGAAATTCAAACTACAATTCCTAGTCATAACCATTCTAAGAGCCTAAAACCATTTCTACACTTCTACCATCTTTATTTGTGCGCAGCTAGGACAGTTAAAGCTCCCTCTCTATGCTTTTACTTTCAATCCAAAAATCTAAGAGCACACTCAAACCAATCCAAATCACACTACCCAGCAGAACTGCACTCTTTCAGGCCAACTATTTCATGAAAAACTGCCATACTTCACCAAGCAAAAATGATTTTTCATGTCCTGCCCCATTCTTTAATACTTCACAACCCCAGTGCTACAACTTCATCTATGATTTTATTCCAACAAAGTTTCTTACCTCATCATTGATGACCTCAGATTGTTCTTCCTCTTCTTCCTCCTCCAGATCCAAGTCATTTTGCCTCAGGTATGCTTGCAGAGGAACACAATGCTTCTTCTTAAAAGCTAAAAAGTCCATCATATTCCCTTGAAGATGTTGCAGGAAAAACAGTTCAATCAAACACTCCTTAAAAGTTTCCTTAAGAATTTCCATCTGCTTGTGGTGATGATCCAAACATAGCTTTCTCATTTGAGCAGTTTCTTGGTTGGCAGGAGGAATCTCCTCCAACTTTTTGGGCTGTTTTTTCACTGCTGTGCTAGCTGTAGGAGTGAGAGGAAGACTCGACAGCCCCTGTGGCACAGTGGCCCGTGAAGGACTCGTGGGAGGAGGAGGTGATGTCATCCCAAACGCGCTCGGTCCTCCAACTCCTGCTATCAATCCACCAGAAGTCCTGTCAAATCCAATGGGTCTACTCAGCTGCTGCCCTTGAAGCACTTGCTGCTGCTGCTGCATTAGCTGCCCCTGGATAATATTGCTGATTTGGGGTGGCAAGCTGGTCGTCGTGATGTGGCCCGGGCTGGTCAAAGATTGCATGTTTGCCCCGCTGGCCACGGGGCTCTGAGGGCCGAGGTGGTGGATGGTGCCCCCGGACTGCGAGTGCGGCTGCGAGAGCCGGCGCTCCCTCACGGTGCCGGGCGGGCCGGACGATGGCAGCTGCACTTGGGCAGCAGCTCCTTGAGCAATCTGCGCTATCCCCGGTCCTTCCTGGTACACGAAGTGGCCGCCGTTGGAAGGGCTCAGGCTGATCTGCCTCACCAGCACGCTGGCATCCACAAAGCCTCTGGTGGGGCTCTGGCTGCACATGCCCAGGCCGGGCCCGGGGGTGCCCGCGCGGACGTTGGGCAGCGCCTGCACCGGCACCGGGTTGGGCTGGGTGGGGCTCTGCGACTGCACCTGCTGGGGCAGCGGAGAGGTGACCTGGATGTACGAGGGGGAGCCATGCTCGAAGCGCCTCTGCTGGGGGCTGAACTGAAAGCTGGGGGACGTCGGGTTTGGCAGCGGCAGCGGGGTGAGCGTGATCTGCTGGTTGCCCGAGGCCACCGGGCCCACGTTCTGCAGGGTGATGTTCACGTTCTGCCCGGCCACGGGGCTCCGGCTCATGATGAACTGCTGGATCTGGTAACTGGGCGACTGCGGCGCCGAGGGGCTCGCGGAGGGAGCGAAGGAGGCAGCGGGGGACTGGGGTAGATTTGCCTGTTGTTCTTCTCCCTCGCTGCCCGTGAAGGACCTGGATCTCTGCAGCTGGCGCTGGGCATTCTGAGGGCCATTGCCATGGTGCATTCTCACTGATCTAAGGTTTTACAGTGTAGTCTAAAGAAATACACAAAAACAGACATTCAGGGAATGTAAAAACTCTTCTGCAACTGAAACTATATAGTTACAACAACAAAGATTAGTCACAGTAAGAACTCTGATACCCTGGTTTTGCAGTTACTTAAAATGTTTCAAATTATCCAAAAGCCTCAGCACAACCAAATCTCACTTAAATTCCTCATGAATTTCTCTAGCTAATACTACTATTGAAGAGTCTTACAAATGTTGTGTTCCCCTTAGCTAGGCAGAATGACTTCAAATAATAATAAAAAGAAAAAGAACGAACAGGACTTTTTCTCTTGCTGTGGAACTTCGAGAAACAATAGTCTCCAGCATCAAAGGCATCTACTCTTTTTTCATCTTCATTATTACCAATGTTTCAGTGTTTTAAACTCTTAATGCGAAGTTATCGTAAATTTAATTGCTAAAATGTATAGTCCATTGTTTCAACAGCAACTAAAACTAAGAAAATGGACGGACTATTCAACTTTATTGTTCTAGCTACTGAAGGCCAAGTCATCTAAATGTATGTAAAACTACTGTACTTGATCCTTAACTTTGCTTTTTTGTCCTTCAGAACACAACAAGAGATGAAAATTAACCAAATCTGCATTTCATTTCAAATGCTGTTTATTGGGCCAAGCTACCCAGAAATACCAAAATGTCTGTAACTGAAATACAAAACCAGAACAAACAAAAATTCCAATGACTTGCACTGACAAGTAGATTCAGGGCTGGGAGTCACACAGAAATAGCAGCAAGAAAAAATGAAACCTGATGGGTTTGTTTTTTCCCTTGGAAAATCTCTCTCCTCTTTTGAAAGCAACACTTTCACTTTTAGCATTTCAGGCCAAACACACACACAAACATGCTGCCACTCCTTTGTGTTCCTAACTCCAAGTCGGTCGCAGGCGGCAACAGGCAGCAGCACCCCGGCACGGCAGCGCTGCTGGGATGCAGCCGGCGGCTCTCCCGCCGCCCAGGCACGGAGCACATCACAGCCAGCGCTGCCCTGCCCTGCGCTGCCTGCAGCCATCCGCCCAAGCCCTGCGGATGGAGATTCCCTTCCTTGCCCCGGGAGAGAGGCGGCTGTCCGGGAAGGTGGAGCAAAGCAGCGCTGTCACACGCGTGCCAGCAGCGACGGGGGACCGAGAGCCCGGGACCTCCCGTGCCGGGGGTACCGCGGAGCGCAGCGGGCACAGCGGCTCCTCCGGCCGCGTTCCGCCTCTCCCGCACCGGGGCTCGACTGCCCCGCACCGGGGCTCATCCCGGCGAGTCTCGATAGTCCCGCACCGGAGCTCATCCCGCCGGGTCTCGATAGCCCCGCACAGGGATTCACCCGGCGGGTCTCGGCTTTCCGCACCGGGTCTCGGCTCTCCCACTCTCCGGAGCTCCAACCTGAGCGAGCGAGCTCCGTAGAGCGGGAAGAGGAAAAAGCTGCACTCCTTACAGGCCGCTTTTCTAAAAGATTTAACAATAATGCAATTCTTCGAGGTATTGTGGTTATTTCACAGCGCCCATACCAAATAATCAAGATTCAAACGATACCACCAGCAACAAGGTCTTATTATTTTAATTAGCCGCACCTCACTAACACTTATGGCCCCAGTGAAAACACTTAATTAATTACAGGCCGATAAGGGAGGTCCCGAAGCACAGATCGCCTTTTGTGTGCGAGCAGCGCGGCGGGCCCGCCCGGCCGGGGGCGAAGCCCGGCCCCGCCGCCGCTCCACGGGAGCTCCCCCCGCCCGGGGCTCCTCCGCCGGGGCCGCGCTCCCCCGGCCCGGCCCGGCCCTGCCCGCCCCGCGTCCCCCGCCCCGCGCCGGGCGGGCCCGTCCCTCCGCGGCCTCCCCCGGTGCGGCGGCGGGGCCGGCGGGGGCCGTTCGGGGCGGAGCGGGGCGCGCAGCCGGGCCCGGGCGGGCCCCGCGGGCCGCACTTACCGCGGGCGCCGCGGGTTCCATTCGCTGCGGGCAGGAAGCGCGGGCGGGGGCGCCGCTACCAGCGCCGGCAGGAGACAAACCGCGTCCCGCCGCGCCTGCGCCGCCACCCGCGGGCCGCTCCGCGCCTGCGCCAGCCCCGCGCCTGCGCGCTCCGCGGAGCTGGCCCTGTCGCGATAGGAGCGGGCTCGGCGACAGCGCGGATAAATGATATTTATTGTAGCACCGAGCAAAGGGCAGTCTCTGTCCGCGCACGGAGCGGGGCTGTCGCTACCCTTCAATACACGGGGTGAAAAGCCCCACTTGAAGCTGGCGGGGCTTGACTCCCCAGGGCAGGAGAGGCTGGGAGCGGGCGGAGCGGGGCCGGCCGGGGAACAACGGAGATGGAGCGGCTGCAGCATCTCCGACGGGAAAAGGCTGAGGGAGCCGGCGCTGTTCAACCTCGAGCTGAGAGGGAACCCCGTCCATCCCCGTCTGTCAGGGTGTGCAGGGAGCGCGGAGCACCGGCTCTCCTCGGTGGTGACAGGACAAGAGACAGCGCGCACTCACTGATGCCCGGGAGGGTCCACCCGGACATGAGGAAGGACTTGGGTACATCAGATGGAGCCGCACTTCAGGCTTTTCTTTACATCAGCACAAGCACAGATTTGATTCTTGGACAGTAAACACTACTTAAGGCTAAAGATTATCACAGAGCCTTTGATAAGAAAAGATCCCCGTGAAATACATTCGTGTTTAAGAGAAAACAAATTCACCAATCAGGCCACCAGTGATTTACTGTTAAATTTGAGAAAAATACTGACAGTAGAAGTAAACTTAGAGAAATCTATTTGAGAAACTTAATTTCTAGTAATCATCAACTCAAAGTGATTTATTCTTCTGAATATTTGAATACACTCAGAATTCTGGTGGTTTGCACAGGCTTGTCTAACACAAAGAGGCTGACCATCTACATTCTGGAATAAATACAAAGTGAAGGCTTAGGTACCAAAAATACCTAATCAAAAGTGCCCTGTCTCCAAATTCATAGTTATCAATAGTCTTGACTGAAGACAATTCATATCCTACCACTTAAAAGTTAAAATAAACAGCTCCCCTCCCTTATTTTTAACATACTGGTAGTGCAAAATGATACATCCAAGGTCATATTATCATAACATTGGGGAAATTCATATTCCTAAGTGTATGGAAATGTAATAAATATAACCTATATTAGTCATACTGTTAGGAAAAGGTATTTACTAGCATTTGTTTGTATACCAAAAATCTAGTTATGTTTTTGCTTAGTCAAAACTCCCATAGTACTCTAACAGCAATAAGGAATTAAAAGGGAAAAAAAAATCAACAAAAAGGACCCCAAAACCCCCCAAGTCCTCACAATGCAAAGCGAGTTTCAACTTAAACTCTCCTTTCCCTCTGGACCTGCAATGGTTTTTATGTAACAATTTTGGTGTTGCTTTGGGGAGTGATAAACATTGTTGCAAGAGTTAACCGCACCACTGATAGGATCCAAGACCTTTAAGAAAAAATGCAAAAATTCTTTAGTCATCCCAAAATCAAGTTTAGAAAAGTCAGATTACAGATGTATTTGACACATTTTGCTGCAGATGTTGCTTTTGATTGATTAAAACAATGTCAATAAAAGGGTAACATTATCATTGGAACAAGCAAATCTTTATTACAATGTATCAATATCAATATTGTCAATATTTATTAGATATTGTTACCTTCTGATTTTCTATATGAGCTGACAGTTCAGGATTTCTACTCAATTTAACTGTGAACACACATCACTGGTTCCCAATCAAGCCTAGAAATAAAGAAACCACTACCTTTTCAAAATTCTGTCTCAGATCTAGTAAAACACTTATTTTTTTATGTATCATCAAATAACTGCTCACATTCTTAATGTTACAGTACCTGGGATAAAAAGTCTGTTGAACAATCCCCTCCCTGAGCAGCCAGTTGTTGAATCATGTTTAATACTCTTTTTCAACAGCCTCTCTTCAATAGAATTATATGCAAACCTGTAAAACAAAGAACCCATTACATCCCTTGTGCTCTCAGCACATCCTTCCAAGGCAAGAAACACTTGAGAGAAGCTTTGAAATCCATCTTAGACCTACACACACAGCATCTCATCACTGCATCTGAAACTCAGTGATAATCAAGAATGGCATTTTTTGTTTATCAAGGTGAAAACACCCACATTTATTTTGGCTGTCCCAACACACAAGTCCAGATGGTTTGTTAGATGAAAGTGGGAAGGAAAGACAGGAACAGGAGCAGCAGTGTGGGAAGGACAGGATTTTCATTTTCCCCCTAGTCTGAAGGGAAGGGCTATGATAAAATCTTTGAAGGCACCTTGCAAGATCAAGTTACTTAAACTACAAGGGTGACCTCAACCAAAAATCCTAGTTTCTTCCCAAATAATCTTCTCTTTACTTTTGATTTCAAAAACACTGATTTCTTAGCATGAAACTCACCTGTATGTGTGGGGATCTCTGCCTGTTGCACTGTTGTCACACCATGCCATCTCTGTGTCCATCAGTGTCACAGAAGACAAGAGGAATCACATTTATGTGACTGACACCTGTGCAGGGAGTGGGGGAAGACAGGACAGCACAGAAGGATCACTTGTCTTGGTTGAAGCTTTTTATGAATTCCTAGAATGGGGAAACAAGCAACTTAATTACAAATTGACATTAATATAGGATAAATCTCTATACAAACTTTTTTTAACAGAGTGAGAAGATTGGAAAAATTGCTTTCTTATTACTTCCCCAACCTACATTAAGTGTGCAAATGTTTCAAGTTATCTGACTGCCATATTACAGATCTACACAGCTCATGTTTAATCTGTCTATCATTAAAACTATTAATTTATGGTGCAGTCAGCCATATAAAACCTAAAGATCTATTACAAGTAATCACATCATGGCCTATGACTAAGCCCACCTGACTGAGTTGTTATTCTTGCACATACTCCATCATTTTTCTTGTCTGTGACTAAATCAAATCCTTTCTGTTGTGCTGCCTTGTGTTGCTTTAAGGCAAAGTATTCTTTTATGTTTTATACTGCATCTAACAGAAAGCATAATGATGTAATTTGGAATAAAAAATAAGAAAAAACTTCAATATATTGGTAATGTTTGCTCAAATTGTAGGCCCCAGAGGACACAGAGAATCTTACTGGGGAGGGAAAGGAGCATACTTTCAATTTCTCCTCAGGCAATGCCAGGGCACTCTACAAAATAAAAGCCCCTGGAGTAAGGCTGAGGAACTGCAAACATAAAAACACCAACTACACTTAAAGTACTAACAATGTAAATAGCTACAGATAATGAAAGCAAAAGCAAATTAATCAAATGGCTATTGTGCAAAAAACCATCTGCATTTGAAGCACAAATTGCTCATAAAGGTAGGATAACTAGTGGCATACTCCTTGGCAACACCCTAGATGCCTCATCAAATGACATACTTCATATACAATTACATATTTGAGTTACAGCTACATACATAATTTGCTTCAATAAATAAGGAAATTATGTAAATGAATCTTGCAAATGTCTTAGACTTCCCTTTAGCATTCTCCCTCCCACCATGAGCATCAACTCACTGTGAGCTTGAGGAAGAGATCCTTTTACCAGATAATGCCAGCTGTGAGCACCACTCTCACTCTCACTGTCATGGGGAAATGGAAATTCAGGGAAAGCTCCAGGATGCTGAGCATTGCAATCATCTGTGTCAAAATCAGCACCTGCTGTCCCTTCTGCTTTCAACTGCCAAAGCAGGGCAGCCAGAGCTCCCAGCTTGCCTGGTTATGAGTGAGAACCTGAGGGTTCTGCAGGTGACACTCACAATCAGAAACAGCCCCTGCACACAGGTGTGAGCAGTGGTGGGTGTTCAATACCTGAATCACCAATACCCAAATCACCAATACCTGAATCACCAATACCTGAATCAATCACAAATACCCGAATCATCAACACCTGAATCACCAACACCTGAATCACCAACACCTGAATCACCAACACCTGAATGATCAATACCTGAATCACCAACACCTGAATGATCAACACCTGAATCACCAATACCCGAATCACCAACACCTGAATGATCAATACCTGAATCACCAATACCTGAATCACCAATACCCGAATCACCAATACCTGAATGATCAATACCTGAATCACCAATACCTGAATCAATCACCAATACCCAAATCACCAATACCCAAATCACCAATACCCGAATCAATCACCAATACCCAAATCACCAATACCTGAATCAATCACCAATACCTGAATCAATCACCAATACCTGAATCGCCAATACCTGAATCACCAATACCTGCACCACCTCTGCTCCTCCACACTGAACTGCAGGGGTTGCATTCCATGGGTCCATATGTAAGGAGGATTTGCTCCATACAAACAAGGAGGAGCAACAGCTACAGCTGGGAACACACACAGGTCTCTATAAAAGAAATCAAAACTTTGTTATATTAATTTTTAACTCCTTGGGCTATTAGCTACTCCAAACCAGTAATATTTTCAAAGAAGCACAAAGCACCTGGCTAAAGGTAATAGAAAGTAAATCAGGACATGTAGTTATAAGTTGACATCAAGTAAGTGAAAAAAAAAAACTGAAGAAGAAATTACCACTATCCATAAAGTTACCAAGAGAAGCTTACTACAACTCCTACTTCTTTTTTCTTTTTTTTTTTGTCAGCATCAACACAACAAGTACAAGATATGTCAAAATAAAGCAGAATTGTTATATAACTAATAACAGTTGCCATGGAACTATGGAGAGTTTCATATCCTAGAATGATCCAAAATTATACATCTGAGATGCAAATAGGTGCAGCATAGAGGAATGCAGCCTGCAAAAAGGATAAAACAAGGCAGCCTATTTTGCATTTAGCATTTTACAGTTTTTCACATAAATACTCTGATCTGGAGGGTAACACACCCATGAAATCTGTGCAAAGACTGCACATGGACTTGTATAAATTACCTGGTGGTGGTGGTAATAATAATAATAATAATAATAATAATAATAATAATAATAATAATAACAATAACAATCCTTCGGGGCAATCTGCTGCTGTTCCAGTGTCAGAATGAGTTCCTGCAATGGATGCTTTCAGCCTCTGAGGTGCTAGAGCATGGAAGGCAATTTGCAAAGCAAGCCCAGCACCACTTATAAATCCTGGCAGAACAATGCTGAGAGATTTTTCTTTCCCTGATCCAAGGGCAAGTTTCCAACAGGTCCCTGCCATACAGGGGGGTTCTGGAACAATGATGCTCATTCCAGAAGTATATTTTGTCCAGGTATTCCTTCAGTTGTCACTTTCTTCTGGAATACCCTTTAAATTCAAGATTCCTCTCTGAAACTATTGTGACCACACAAAGCTTATGCAAAAAACAAACTTGAAAATAAGGATAATTTAGCTCATGCAAGAGTTCTATGAATGGAGAATAGAGCAGGAGAAAAGCTGACACTTGTGATACATGGACAAATGTTAGCTTTGGTATTGCAATGAAAAATAAATCTGCTTTTCTAGTTTATGCCTACTGGCAAAAATATTATTTTTAGTCAGTAATCTGAGCTGAAAGAGGTACCCAGCTGAAGAGCATATGGCAGGAGGGATTCTGCTTCTCTCAACACACAGAAGAAACACACTGTACTGTAAAATTCAAGTACACCAAATGCTCTGGTCTCTGAAGGATTACATGGAAGGGGCATGACAGAACTCCAATATTCCTTAGCCATCTTTGGAGTCTGGAGACAGCAAGAGAGCTCCCCCACAAATGCTAATTAGGGTCAAACATCTTAATGGAGCAGAGCTTTAACTATGGGTATGGTTTCAAAAGCACTGCAGTTCTAAGAGCTGATTTCACAATAACTGGTTTGTGTATGCTGTTTCCAGGAAAGCAAAGTTGTCTAACCAGAGAAAGAATGAGTTCTTCTTCTGTTTTACATACATACTTCAGCTGTCCCTTCCAAGTCCTTACCTTCATTAACTGCCAATGCTATCCTCTGGCACAGCAGCCTCAGAACATGAGGGACACCCTCCTTGTCACCTGCCACAGCCACATGTCACACAGGCTGTCTTGGGCTTCACTGACCATTGTCATACCAGGCTAATTTATTGTAAGATTTAACTCTACATTGCTCTACAGCAAAATTACATTTGCTCCAAGACTCAAAACTGAACCCTCCTAACTTTCTTCTGAGGGAAGACTCAGATACACAACTCAAATAAGCTCAAAATTTAACTGAGCATTTTTTTTCTCCCTCTGTCCTTCCCTCCCTCTCTCCCCCCTCCAGAAAAAATCCTTAAGTGTTTTGCAAGCACATCTGAAAATTAACTAGAAGGAGAAGATTTAATTATTCTGCTTAGGAGACTACTCCAGAAGTAATTTTCAGTGTTTGATCAAAACCACAAGTTACTTAAACTCTTGAGTGTGGCCAGAAAGATCAAAACTGAGCTTTCATAAATGAAAAGAACTATTAAGCAGTAAGAAGCACTCTGCTTTCCCTCAGAAGACTTTAAAGGCATGAAGTCTTTAGCAGTGATCAGTTTGGAAACAAAAGATAAAAAAATAAACAAATAATTCTGAGTGAACCCTCTCAGCCCTCACAAATATTACTCTTTTTCATCTGTTACTTTAAAAAAAATCAATAAAAAATAAATCAATCATTTGAACACTCCATACCTGTTTGGCTGGAGCTTCACTGTCTCAAGTCTGGGTGCTGAAGGGGAGCAGCAGATCTCTTCCATAAACCTTCCAGTTACCTTCAGTTTTGGCAGCATTTGTGCTTCATAGCAAGTGATTTGGTTTTCCATCCCAATCACATCAAATAGAGACCAGTCTGTGTGCTTAAATTACAGTAAAAGAAAAAAAAACCACAAAGTAAAGAAATATTTTACTACTATTCAGCTGCAGCTTTAAAAAATAATAGTATATAATAGCACAGAATCTGAGAATGATGAAAAAGCTCCCAGCTGATGGCAGAATTAAAGTGGAACTGAAGAGCCACGTGTCATGTGACACTGCAGAGCAGCTGCTGTTACTTTAAAAGGTTCCAAGAGCCCACACCATGGAAATAGAGCGTTGTGCTCATGTTACCACGAGTCACAAACAGGGCAGCACCCTCTAATGACAAGCTCTGCAGTTAATTCAATGTTTGTAATTAAAACATTTGTCTTTATAGAACTGGCATTCCAGACCCATCTATTCCCATCTTGACACATTAACCCTAAAATAAAATCATAAAATTATTTTAAGTTTTTACCCAATTCTATCTAAAAAGCACATTTCTAAAGAAAGAAAATAATTACAACCCCTTAAGGAGTACTGTTTAAAGTTTACAAAAGTGGAGAGGCAACCTCAAACTCCCAGGTCCTCAGTGATCACATCCTAACCATGTAAATGCTGCCTATTATTTATTTAAAATATCATATTCACATTACTCTCTTGGCAGTTATCTTCCATCTTCTTTCTTGAAAAAAATCTGTTGCCATCCACTGCATTTCCTCCAAAAGAAAAAAATCATGGTGTGATTTGTGCTGTGGGGCCTCGTGGAGTTTGGGCAGAGGTTTCAGAGTTATAAACTTTCTTTCCTCAGTGCTGCTGTTTGCTGCAGAATTTCATTTTCCTTCAAGTAAACATAAGTAAAGTAAATAAAATAAAGTTAAAAAAAAGTAAAAAAAAAAATTAAACTCATGTATCCTACTGCACAACACAAAACCAAGACAGACACTGTGAAAAATGTTAAAATGTTACATGGATAATCACTAGAAATAATTATTGTCCTTGGAAACATTCCATGGTGTTTGAAGTTGCACTTTATTAAAAGATAATGAATAATGCATTTTGTGCAGATTTTTGTAAAGTTTCTGAGGGACTTTGTGAGGCAGAAGTTAGATGAGAAGTCAGTAGAGAATCTTGGGATGCAGAGCTACTCAATCTTGAGAACTTTTGGTTTTCCTCCTAAAATAGGGTACCCCTAGATTTCCTCAGAAGTGCTGGCTGATTCAGTGAGAAATTTCACAGAATTAAATACTCTGCCAGATGGCAGATGGACAAAATTCCCTAAAAAATTCATATAAAAACACATTTCGTTTCTGGCATTTTTATTAACACATGTAAGTATCCTGCAACTGCTGGCAAGTCAGCACAAGCAGCAAAAATTTTCATTGTCATCCCCCCTCCCCCCCTTGTTTTAAAATGGTGCATAAAAATTTAAAATAATGGATTCTGTTTAATTAAATCTCCTTCTAGAGCTTCATTACAGAATAAATGCTACTTCCCTAGAGAATGTGTCTGATTCCTTCTCACCCCTTTCCTTTCTTCAAGAAAAATCATGTATATCTGCAGCACTAATTAAAGCCAAATGAGGGGCACAGGTATCCACTAAGCATTCTAAATTTAATCTTTTTGTAAAGATTCATACCCAGCTGAGCTATACCACAGCTGTCTGAAGAAAATTGTCAGGCCTGGCAAAGTTATCTGCAAAAACTACTGGAATTATTTACTCCTTACTCTCTGGAGTGATAAATTCTGCCATCCACAAAGTCTCCACACAAAAGACCAAGGTCAGCACTCCCCATACAAGATAATACACAAATGTTGTATTTATGAATGTTGTATAATATACAAATATACCTGTTGTTGTGAGGGAACTGGAGCTGGGAGCACAAGCACATGGTTCTTATCCCATTCTGCTGGTTGTACCTGCTGGGGCAGAGCTGGGTTCCTGCTGTGTAAGGAATTGAGCAGATTTGACAAATTTGGTCCATTTTGCTGCTGGTTTTCCTCCTGGATGATCTGCTGAGCCACTTGAGGGACAGGAGGCATTCCACCTGCAGAGAGACTGTTAAAAATTGCAATTTCAGTCAAGAAAATAGTGAAATGACAGAGAGAACCAAAGAAAGTGGCAACACAACCTGTTACAAAGCTGGTGAAATCAGCTTTCCACCACACCCCAACAGACCTGCCTGCCTGGAAGCTCTGAGGTGTGACTCAAGCAGCAAGTCAGTCTAGGATGCACTTACCCACTCCTGAAGCTGACAAGATCTGTGCTAACAACACCCTGCAGAGAGCTGACAGCTACACACAACCAATCTCTATCAGGGTATCAAATGACCAAAAGGGAGAAATTTCATGCAACAACATTAATTAAGGAAAGCAACAAATTGGGCTCAGAGGGTACAAATTTAAACCCAATGTATGGAAAATGAGATGTGCAGCACTTACTAGGATCTCTAAGATTTTCTCCAGAGGGTTTTTAAACTGTGTAACAATTGGTATTGGATATAATGTTACAATTACAGAAAGTCTCATTAAAGCAGTTATCTTTAATTACAAAGCTTAAAACTTATTCTTAATCTTCAATCATTAATATAAGCACTAGATGTAACAGCATTATTTTAAAGTTCATGACTTTTTTTAAATTGCTGTCAGACCTAATTATGAGTCTCTCTGTGAAGTACTATTTTGGAACTGAATAAAGTTTTACATAATAAAGCATCTCATTGTCAATAAAATGGTGCATTGGACTACCACTTCCAAAGCTCTATCCATTTCTATATCTTGATTTAAATTTTACATTCACTTTATTTTGCTACAAAATGGGGGTTATGGTTGCAGAATTGCTTCCTGCACATCTGTAAAGGGTGGTAATCTCAATGGTCACTGACCTTTTAACCCAAATTAACCATTTGAATTCTTCATGGTCCCAGCAGATTTATCCAGTTGCTGCAGCTCATTCTGAGCCTAGACTGGGTATGTTTGTACTTCGAAGAAGATGCAGAATGGCCAAATTTCGGCTTTCTCCAGCCCAGGGACTCACGTGCTGCAGTCAGGGAGAGAGGTCGGTGCTGTCACACGCACGGGAGGTGAGAGGAGGGACTGCCTGGTGTCACCCTGCCAGTTCCAGAGCAGCAGCGGGGCGGGATGGGCCGGGCTCTAAAGGCCGTTCCACCCCGGTGCGCGGGTGCCGGTGCTGCCCCGGAACGGAGCCGGCGCTAACACGGGGCTCGGCAGTGCCCCGCTCCCCCGCACCGGCACCAACCTCCGCCAGCGACGGCTGTGCAGCTGTGCCCTGTCCCCGCACTGCCTGTGCCACCCCCGCACAGCCTGCACCGCTCCACACGCCATGTACTACCCCGTGTACCCTGTGCCACCCCCGCACAGCCTGAACCGCTTCACACGCCATGTACTACCCCGTTATCCCTGTGACATCCCGGACACCCTGCACCGGCCCCGCACATTCTGAGCCGCTCCGCACGCCATGTACTACCCCCGTATACCCCTGTGATATCCCGCACACCCCGTACAGCCCGACCCGCTCTGCACAGCCCGCACCGCTCCGCACGCCATGTACTACCCCCTACACCCCCGTGACATCCCGCGGCTTCCCCCACAGCCCGCACCGCCCTCGCACAGCCTGACCCGCTCGGCACGCCATGTACTACCCCCGTATATCTCCGTGACACCCCGCACCGCTCCCGCACAGCCTGACCCGCTCTGCACGCCATGTACTACCCCGTATATCTCCGTGCCATCCCGCACCGCGCTTCCCTCACGCCCCGGGCCCGCCGCGCTCTCCCGCAGCGCCCCCTCACGGCCGCCCCTCGCCCCGCCCACAGCTGGCCCCGCCCCTCGAGGCGATACCATCGGCCTCCCACCGCAGGGGGATCCAGGCGCTCCCACCCGCACAGAGGGGGAGCCGCGACCCTTAAGTATTTTTTATTTTTATTATTATTATTGTAATTCATGGTTTTTTCTCTCTCCAAATAGATTTTCTCTTTGATTTCAACTGTGGTACATATCACAGCTTTGGAGCCTTTATTATAAGTAGATAAAGGTAATTTTTGTTTTTAGACAGAAAGGTATGGAGAAACAGAGCTTTGCATGGAGGATAATGCACAGTAGGTCAATATTAGGGAGCAGCAAGGGTTGTAATGAAAATCCAGGCAAAATCTCTCTCCAGGGCACTTCTACACTTGCTCTTATAAAATCAAGCAAGACCTTCATGATAAAATAAAAAGTTCTAAAGAAAACCCAAAAAATTAACATGGGAATCCTTTTTAAAGGATAGCTGTGCCACAAAAAAATCCCCCAAAGTTCCTACCAATCCAAAAAAATCCCTGGAAAATCAAAAGAGTAATTCCAGAAGGAACCATAAAAATAAAGGCTTTAGCAAAACACCACTAAATGTGGGAACTTTAGTTGAGTTGACTCCTCATTTTCAGTAAGTCCCAAATTAAAAAGCAAGTCTCCATAGAGACTCAGCAAGAGAAATGTACCAAGAACTTGTACCAATATCCAAATTCTTGGAGTCTTGTTCCAACCCTTCAATGGTGTTCTGCAGATTAGTAAGGCAGGAGGGTGTAATTTCTTCTGCCACCTCCACAGAGCTGGAAACAAGAACCAGAAGTTAAACCACTGATGGGAAAAAGGAGCAGGAACTCCACGGTAGGCAATTCTGAAAACACAGAAAATTGAAATTGGTTCCCAGAGGATGGCAGTGCTCTGACATGTGCCTCCCACATCACTGCAGACATTCCCTGTTCTGAGGAACTTGATGGGACTGAAGAGTTCACAAAACCAGGCCTGATTAAAGCCCAGGGAATTCAGCACCATTTCTGTCCCACATGCCAAGTCAATTCCGCTCTGCATCCTGCAGGTGGCTCAAGAGGACTTTGGGGTTACACCTCAGACAGCAAAGGCCCAACCACACCTGGAGCTGTGGATTTATACCCTAGAACCTGCCCAAGCACCAGGGCAATGCTGGGAGGATGGCACTCCCACAGAACAGGTCTCATCTTGGAATATATGGCTCAGTTCACATTCCAAACTGAAGCCCTCTCACTGAGAAAGGAATCATTTCTTTTAGACCTACAAAGCTCTAGAAAACATGGAAATTTGTTTCAAAACCAAGAGTTCACAGCAGTCAGCATGATGAGTTTCTAACCCATATTCTGAGTTGGAAGGGACCCACAAGGATCACCAAATCCAACTCTTAAGTGAATGGCCCAAAAAGGGATTGAATCCACAACCCTGGCATCTTTAGCACCACACTGTAACTGAGTTAATCTCAGGGTCATGCATGTTATTCCATAGGAAAACCATGGATGACATGAAAAATAAAAGCTTAGGGATTCAGTTTAAGTAAAGGTAAATTATTTTTAAAAAATCAAAAGCTCATGAAGTCGTAACTTCATTGTAAAAAAGAGTATATTAAAATGATTTGCCCCATCTTCACGTAGAGATTATACATATTTAAAATACTATTTTCCAGGTAAACATAATAAAAACGTTTTTCAAATAGCAATTAAGATATCCTGCATTTCAAGACTAGTTTTAGAAAGCTGATTTCCCACTACACAGTTTTCAAGTATATCAGTAGGTGAATCAGTCAGTGGTACAAAAAGCTTCTGGTTTTTCTGCTGCACTGTCTTCCCCAGCCAGTTTCTCCTGGGCATCCAGTTCTCATTCTGCAAGCACACCAGCTCCTGTTTCACTGGATTCTTGGATTTGGAAAGGCCACTTTTTTGTAGACAAAGGGAACTGCAAGCAGCAAGGGTCCCGTGTGCTGCTGGCTCAGTCAGAATCATCACCACAACCATCGCTGCCTTCGGCATCGCTGCTCTTCTGCAAAGCAAAACACAAAATGTTTGTCAGGGCTGCATTCACACCACAACTGACCTGAGGCACTGATACTGACTCCAAACTTCTCCATAAGTGTAAGAAAACAGTCCTGGGTCTCAACTTCATACTGTAATAAACACCTCTGGTGGTAAAGAGGCTTCTTGGAATGAAAAATGTACTTGGGATTACAATTAGCAGAGAGGAAATTTCTTCTTACAACATTTACAACTCCTTAATTACAACCTGCAGTATGTGGGGTAGTAACATGAAATGGTGATATTTAAAATAAATGCAGGTGAGACAAGTTAAGTGCTTTTTTATGCAAGTCCCTCAAAAGCTAAGCTTGCTACATTGTCTAAAGCCAGATTTGAGACTTTTGTCTGCTGCAGAGAATTTCTGTCCAACCTGTACTGCAGATAAGCCAGGGCTCACTAATACTTGTTTAAAAGTGAAGTCAGTTACACAAAGTAGTACCAAGGAAAAACTACAAATCTCACAAGGAGACTGAAGTCAGAGTTCTTCTCTGGGAGCCACTCCTTCAGGAGTAAGGCAATATGGTGCAATTAATTTGGTGGCTTTATGTATTTTTGAAGCAAGTATTTTAACTGATATCAAAATATTTTTATAAAGAGAAGCTAGCATAGTATATATCTATACTTCTATATATCTGTAGTACATATCTGTCTGTAGTTATCCTTTTTTTCCCCTCACCACCATTTGCTGAAAACACCAAATCCCACAAATTTAACACTGGCTATTTAATACCCTACTACAAAACAAATTCCAAGTCACTCACACAGTTGACTTCATAGCAGCAAGCACAGCTCACAGAAGTGCAAACAGCCTGCAGAATCTCAGCAGAGTCTGTCACATCATGCCTTATTTATCCTTCCCAGACAGCTTGTGCTAACTGTGATGCCAAACCCAAACTTGGTTGGGTCTACCAGCAGGGAGCAGAGACTGCCTCCCTCCAGGAATACGTCAGGGATTGGGAACCACACCAGGTAAAGGACTCTGAGCCACACAGTCTCTGTGGGTCCCATTTAAACAAACCAAAGTGGCTTTTGCTGTGCCCTCCTGCGACAAACATCCCTCTCATATATCCAGAATTCAGAAAAAAATTACCACAAGTACAAAAATAACCCTGAGAAATGTATGGTGTCTTGCTTGTGCTATTTAACAAGGCTGTAAGTTTTATATCATCCCTAAAATGGCAGACACATAATTTTTCTCCATGTCTCCATCTCCAACATTTTCCATTTGCTACACAAAATAAAGCTGATTTTAAGGATTCTGTTACATGAAAAAAGGCCATTATTTTCTTCTGAGTTGCACTACACAGACGTTTTAGCCCTGCCCATCATTCATCCTTCAAGGACTTGCCAGCCTTTAACTGAAATTTCCTTTTTGGCAAAAATGTTTTCCACAGCTCACAGGAGTTCCTGTTGGCACAAATGTATTCTCACCTCACAGCTCAGAGGAGTTCCTGTTGGCACAAATCCAATTCCACAATATCCCAGTTACTCAGAAGTTGTTCTGATGGCCTATTTTGAGCTCATGGCAGATTAATTTAAAAGAGTTGGTCCTAAATTTCCCTGATCCCAAACCTTATCTGGTAACAAAATGAGAATTAGCCTAAAATCAGAGAATACAAAAAGCCAGCAGGTATTTAAAGCAAAATTGTCAACCTGAAACCTACACTCTCAAACACTTCCACAACAGCAAAGGCTGGCAGTGTGTCCATAATTTCTGTTGCCAGTTTATGATTATGCAAATTTCTTGTGCTTAAAGCTTTCCTTCCTCCCTCCTCAACTACTGCCTGTAAAACCCTGCAAAACCAATGCTCTGTACAGTTCATTCCACTATCATCAAGTGCACAAAGACAGAAAAGATTACACACATTTCACACTCCAGATGACTGTCATTTCCACAGCATTTCATGGAAAACAAAATTGGTACAAAGGGAAGAGATGTTTCAGCTTGACAGCTTCCATTTGTAAAATAATGGCTTCAGTCATTACCTTTGGATTTTTGTTGTTAGTTTGCACCTCAACAGCAGAGGAGTTGAAGTCGTGAATGGGGAGGGTTTTTAGCCAGTTTGCCATGGATTTCTCCTCCCTTTCTGTGTTGATAATGGTAGGG